ACAAAATTTCCAATAGCTTATTGTAGGATTTCACTGCATTTTCCATATCCACCATATTTGGACATTGTGATATATTTGTCAAATACTTAGTGCATCTGTACTGTAATATTCTGTCTAATCTTCTTATAAATTTCATTGCTAAAATTGGCAATTGATGAGATGTTGAATATACTTCAATTGATGAGTTCATGCATGTTCCATTATCAAATAAACAGTACTGATCGTTCATGCAATCTGTACATTGCGCCTAAGGTATGAGTCAAAAACTAAAAGTAATGTTACACAAATCCATCTAATCAATTTCTTTACTTTTATCACTAGGATTACTAACAGAAGCACTAAGACGTGACTATTGTTTCATGGATTTTAGCACTAAGATTATGCTATACAGTGTGAATTTTACTTCTCAAGTTTTGTACAGTGAAGAGCACAAATCATCATAAATTGTTTTAGATTTCTCCCTTTTCTTTTCTTGGCTGCATCTTTTCTTTCAGTTTCCAGAGGATGTTTTACTGCTGACTTAGCCACCATTTGTTTCTTATATTGGCAACTTCAGAGTCACCTCTATTTCTTTCCTTTCTATTTCTCACTAGCAACAACAATTACAAAACCAAATTATGTATCAGAGCCTCAGAGGCGATACCAATCTTAATCCTCCTTTTAGTTTCTGTTCATCATGTGAGATAATATAAAGAGTAATATTAAGTGTTAAGTAGATACAGGTCTTTTGATATGGAGTCCTTCATTGTGAATTACTATCATGATTCATGATCCAAGTGAATCAAATGGGTCCACCTTATCCTTCATACCAGAGTAGTAGTACAAAAAGTATACTCTAGTTGCCCTTACTCATAAAGGAAATTATGAATTGGTATTCTAATTTTTCACATACTAACATGCAAATAAATTTCTAGATAAAAGGAAAACTTACAGTTTGCTTTGTGCATCGCTTTTTCTCTTTGCAAACATCGACTCTTGTAACAAGCTTTTTGCACAAATTTGAACTTGAAAAAGTATCCCCTGAGGACGGCCCATGGCATTAAATGTGCACATAAAGGATATCAATCCTTGGATCATTGAACTTCGTGATTCATGCACTGATCTAAGGGTTAATATCCCTTGGGTGCACATTTAATGTCATGGAACGTCCCTACTGGATTCTTTCTCTGAGTGTGATAGGAGATCTGTATGAAATGCTTTTTCCAATTGTTTCCACAAGGTTGTGAATGTGGTTCGCCATTGAAAACAGTTGGATATATCGATAATGTAGTGAGAATTTTTTTTTTAAAATAAATTTTGAGATGCTTAAGATAGATTTTGTGGTGCATTGTAATATGCTTTAGTGTGTACTGTAACCTCTCCGGAATGCTAAACTCTACTCTGTATATACCAAAGGTGATGCATGATGCATCTATGCACTTCACATTGCCAAATGATTCTGCAACTTGTACATGCAGTTGGAAGATTCACTATTATTTGTGATGTAATAATAACAAGCTTCTGATAAAAACTTAGAACATGATATTTACTTATGCAACAGATGGCAATTTATGGTTTGCAGCCTTGCATGCTATTAAGCTTGAGAATGCCCTGGGCTCAGGCTGTGATCCTATAATTCCAAGTCCCTGTATATTTATCAAGTTTAAGCCTGGCCCATGTACATCAGACTTGGGTACCTAAAATATTATTCCGGTACATTTAGCAGTAAGAGAAAATATATGTACATTTTTGCCTGCTGCTTATTCAGCTATAAACTAGACTTTGATTAAAAGTAACAGCTTATACAGTCATGATCACTGCAGCCTCAGCAATGCTTGTTCGTATGCTCATACTGTGCATGATAATATTCTCTCCTCTTCTCGACAGATGATAAGGAATGGATCTGTACCTTGTAAATATTTAAGGTTGTAAGCTGTTAGCTATTAGTGTATTCTCAGTTCAAAACTGAGCAGTGATGTACAGAAATTTTCATATCGGAAGATGAATGAAATTTTCATTGACCAAAAAAAATATTCTCTCCTCTCATTTCCCTATCTCTTTGTTGGTAAAGTAGTACATTATTTTAGAAAGAAATATTATATGTGCTTTGTTACTTTGGTTCTTTTTGTCCCCCCTCCCCCTCTTAATTTTCCTTGCACTCCTCCATGTTTTGGTAGATGGTTTTGTGCATCGTCTCAAATTAGTGAATTGTTGCTTTGTAGGTCTGATGGGCAAGAAGTGATTGTAGATGACAAGGACTTGAAACTTAATAACCCGCTAGTGGTATGTCCTTTTTCAATCCTATATTAATTTATAGTTTTCGTTCACTTCTAATGTCTATGGAAATAAGATTGTAACCTTGGTTCTTGTCGCAGCTTATTAACTTTTATGAGCAGCATCTTCGCTACAGCCCTCCGACATGTGATGTCAACGAGCAGCAAAGTTAGATACATCAGTTGGATCAGCCTCGCCGATGGAGTGCCTAACATAGAATTTTCATGCTTCCCCTCTCTCAGATTTAGCTGAAAGTTTTCTAAGCAACGTCAGAATATAGGGAAACTAATGGTGTTCATTTGGTTGACATATATCTCGAAGATCCGTAAACTAGTGTTTTAACCATTATTTCTGTTTTCAGACAAATCAAACTTTTTTAAAAAAAAAGTCTCTAATCAGTGACGTGTGCAGCGCTATGTCGATATAGTTTTCTGCATTATTGCCATTCTGAAAAGCTCTGCGCTTATGTTTAGTTTGATTTTGTGACGGTGATCTTTTATTTTCCTCTTGATCAGAATCCCCAGTTTATTATTAGCTTTGACTTTTGACCGAGGTCTCAAGATAATTTCGAAGCCCAAGAAGCTTTGATGAGCTTCTTGTAGATGTTATCAGCTTGTATTCTGCTTGATGTGTCAAGATGACTGATTGTGATCTCATTGTTCCAAGTCATATATATGATACTGCTTTACTCTCTTTGCTCTTCGTTGCGGGGGCTTCAGAGTTCGTGACTTGAGCAACGTCTTTTTGTTGATAAGATTCTGCATTATCGTCTTTTTTTTATTATTAAGTTCTGCACGCATAGTTGGTGTTTGATTTGGTTTAGCCAAATGCTATTTGGCTCGCAGGGGGCC